GGTCGACCAGAAGGAGTGGACAGGCGACTTATTCGGGACGGACGGGAGCAAGCGGGAGCAGTCCTCGGTACCAACGCCGGCATCGGAAGACGTAGCCCTCGTGGAAACCACCCTAGACTTGTTGGTGTCGCTAGGAGCAGGCGGAGAAGGGTTGCTCGACGTGATTCTAGGGTCGCCACTCCTCAGGCAGCTCCTTCATTTCGGTTTGCTGCTGGCACCTGACGAAGCGCTGCGTCGTGCCATCGCCCGGGGGGTGCACCGCTTGTGTGTGGAGGGACGTCGGCGAAGGGAAAGAAAAGAGGCGCAGGCGGAGGAGGAGGAAGGGCGGAAAAAGAGGAACATCGAGACTTCTGCGGAGGACAATAAAATTTCGAAGGAAACGAGATCATTATCACACCGCGCTGTATTAGACCCAGTACGGGGCTTCTTGCACCCCTTGATCGACTTGGTCGAGAACGTTGGCGAAGAGGGAGGCGGGTGTGTGGAATACTTCAAGCTGCTCACTCGCTTGCTCAAGGCTCCTGACGCTCTTCTTGAGGTGGACCCGGAAGGCATGGCCTGCAAGCTAGCGGGACAAATCAGGCGGCGTCGCGTCGTGGAGGCATCGGAGACGGACGAGGACCAAGTTCTGCAGGGACTCTTGACGTCCTTGCGGGCGCTCCTCGCCTTCTTGCCGCATCGAGGCGACGGGACGCGGTCGGTCAAAGTGATGCTTGGCCAAGGAGGCCTACTTCAGGAATTATTCGACCGTTGCCTCTTTGCGATGCCATCTACTGACCCAAATACCGCGCGGTACATCGAAACGCCCCCTCCTCCAAAGTGCAAACATCCGGTGAGTCGGAATCTGGCCTTGGGGCTCGTCCTTGAGCTCAGCGCGGAGTGTCCTGATAACCTGAGGAAGGTAGTGGCTGTCTTAGAAAGGCACAATCCGTTGGGCTTGTCGGCCGACGAGAAAGAGAGGCGACGGCTTAAGGCAGCGCGGAGGCGCCAGAAGTCTAATCAGCACGGGGGCGGGGGAGGCGGGCAGATATGGGGCAGGCAGCGAAGCGGGAGCCTTGGTGCGTCCGGTCAGCTTGCTTTGAACGCAGCATCGTCTTCAGCTGCGGCATCGTCCTTGCAATGCGGACTGAGCAAGAACCGGACAGGATATGTCGGCCTTAAGAACCTTGGATGCATCTGCTACATGAACAGCACTCTGCAACAGCTCTTTCACGTTAAAGGTTTTCGAGAGGGGATCTTGGCATTTGAAGATGCGGAGGAAGATAAGGAGGAGAGTTTGATGTATCAGCTGCAGCGCGTGTTCGCCCATTTGCAGGAAAGCGATAAAGCGTACTACAACCCGCAAGGCTTCTGCCACGCCTTGAAGGATTGGGACGGGGAGCCTACAGATGTATTCGTCCAGCAGGACGTCTCCGACTTCCTGCTCATGTTCTTCCAGCAAGTGGAGGGTATGACACAGGGTACAAAGTGTGAAGAGGTTCTACGCCACGCCTTCGGGGGAACGCTAGTTCATGAGCTTATTGCTGAGGGAGGGCGCTACAGCTCGCGGCTTGAGCCTTGTTATTTTCTGTCAGTGATGGTGCAGAACATCCAAACCCTCGACCAGGCTCTAGAGGCTTACATCTCGGAAGAGATCTTAAGCGACTACACCTGGGAAACGAAAGATCCTCTCACCGGCAAAGCTGTGAAAGAGGCTACACCGACAGTAAAGCGGGCAAGCTTGGCGGCACTGCCACGGCATTTGATTCTCCATCTGAAGCGTTTTGAATTTGATTATGAAACCATGCAACAAATAAAAATCAATGATCGGTTAGAATTTCCTGTGGATCTAGACATGTATCCTTACACCCTGGAGGGGAGGACGGCAGTGAGGAAAGGCGGAACAGGTATCGCAGCAGCTGGGAATGCAGAAGACTCTGCGGAATTGAGAGAGAGGACCCAAAGTGCGGCTGGGCATCCGCCAGAATATTACCTGTATCGATTGGCAGGAGTGGTCATCCACATGGGAACTGCGAACAGCGGGCACTACTATTCATACATTCGTGAGAGAGGCGGTGAAAGGAGCGGCTGGTTTGAGTTTAATGACACCGTGGTGACAGATTTCAACCCAGCCGATTTGGAGGTGGAGTGCTTCGGAGGCCAGGAAACGAGGGGAGGAACCGGTGGTGGGGGGTACCATGGTGGGCGGAACTGGGCCAGAGAGCGGATCCGCAACGCCTTCTTGCTAGTCTACGATCGATGCGATATTAGACCAGAAGACGACGCCCGTAACACAGTGGCACACCGCCCACAAGTTCCGACCCCGATTTTGGAGGAAATTTTGCGGGAAAACCTCGACTTCTGGCGCAAGACAAACATCCTAACGCGGCCTTACTTCGAATTTATGGAGCAATTGCTGGAGCCCGTCTACCGTCCTACGGCGGTGGAGCGGGAAGAGCAAGCCGAAGATCCTGGACAGGCCGCGCTCTTGGAGAGTGGTTTACGGCTGGCTACGAAGTTCATGCTGGGAACCCTGACGGAGGCGCGGGACTGGGAGGGCGTGCGAACCTGGGTCCCTCGATTGCTAAAGGCGTACGCGCGCTGCTTGCCGGCTTGCATGTGGGTTGTTGGAATGCTAAGCTGCGACGAGCAGCCCGCGGACGAGGGTGGAGGGCTGTTGTGGGATCTGCTCTTGGATACGGAGGAGAAGGAGGGGCGGGTTGCGGTGGTCCAGCTCCTTGACCACGTTGTAACGATCATGCTAGAGGGTAGCTCCACGGACAGCGACGAAGACACAAAGCACGAGGGTGTGGAGAGGAGAGGTCCAGCCGAGGCGCATGTCACGGCGTGCTTGAGTCTGTTTGGAGCCCTGCTCCGGATGCGACATCGCGTCGCAGAGCTTGTGAGACCTACGGGAGGGATCGGAAAAGTCGACTCGTACATCTACCTGCTGGGGCTGCTGGCGAGTAAAATGGAAGGGGCGCGTCGAATGGTCCTCGAGGATGCAGCAGGCACGTGCTTGCTGGATCTTCTGCAAATTGCGAAGAAGAAATTAGAGGTCTGGGCGGTCGGGAAGATCTTTGGCAGCAGGCGGGAGGCCGAGCTCCTTCTGGGAAGTGCAGAGCAGGCGGCTGCTGATATTGGGCCATGTCGAGACACGTTTGCCAGCGCCGAGAGGGAGGACGACGACCTGGACGTGCCTGCGGCCGTCCAGCCCTTGCTTGGGACCCTGTTACGAGCTTGCGTGATCCCAACACCGGGCGGGGCCACGCCTCCCATGACCCAGTGGTCTGCGCAGGCCCTGGAGCCGCATCACGTGATGAGCCTGGCAGAGCGAAAAATGGTCTGCTCGATCGATTTTTGTTCTTGCCTTATCCTCTCGGTGGATAGTCCCGAGGCAAAAGCGAGGATGCGCCCGTTCTTTCAGCACTTCTTGTGGGAAAACTCGGCACGGACTCAGGAGATCCAGGAGGCAATGGTCCGGCTGTTAGAGCAAGGGGGCACTGGAGGTAACGGCCAACGGAAGGAGGAGAGCCCCTCGAGAAGGAGCGACGAAGGGATAGGGGTGATCAAGCCAGTCTTCCGCAGCTTGATGCTTGTCTTGGGGGTGAAGGATTCCTTGCGCGAAGAGCGAGTGTCCCTGTCGCTCCCGCGGATCCTGGCCGCTTTGAAGACTCAGAAGTCTCGCCAGCGGGCGACGGAACTCGGGCTTTGGATGCTCATGCGCCTGGCCAGAGAGAACATGTTGGTCCGCCAGTGGTTCCACGACGGGGCGGTTGTCTTGGCCTCCACACCCGTGGCCTCGCCTGAGCGTCGGGAGAAGGCGCCGAAGCGGACATCCAGTTTCACGTCTCTCCTGACATTCGGTGGTGGGGCTGTTATGGGGGGAAGCGGAGGGGCATCGGCGGAGGAGGAGAAAAAGGGAAAGATCGTGTGTCGAGAGGAGGCCCAGTGGGCAGAGAAGTGGCTCGTGGACCAGCAGGGTCGGAGCTCGGGCGGGAGCGGAAAGGGGGACTTCTTCAACGCCACCACGTCCGGATGGATGGGGGGGGGCTCGTCGAAGACCCAGTACCATGGGGACGCAGGCTCGACGGCAGGCGCGCGAAGCGGGGTGAGGTCGGGCGCGGCCGTGCAACAGCGTGTTCTGACAGGTATTCGCAACCTGTCACGGGGCCAAAATTTGCCTTTGGACTACGACAGCGACATGGACCCGCAGGAAATAGTCGGGCGGCATATTGATATCCAGTGGAGTGGGGACGAGCACTATAGGGGGGTGGTAACCCACTTCTCGCCTCGCTCTGGCAAGCACCACGTCCGATACGAGGACGGCGACGAGCGGGATTATCGGCTGCAGGAGCGGCAGCACATCTTTATCGACCCTTCACAGCCTCCATTTACTGACACCTCTGGCTGAGTAACGAGCATCCCTCGAGTCTCATTGGGCAGCGGTGGCCATTGCACAATTTTCAGGAAAAGGAGACAAAGGTGTACGAAGTGGATGATAATTGATAACTGCACGAGCGAGTGAACGATAGGATCAGCAAGAAATTTAAGCCTATTTGCGCTGGATGAGGCTTCTCGTTGGACGTTAAAGGGTTGTAGATAGAACAAGCGAGGGCTCAACAAGGAAAGGGCAATGTCTTTGCAGGACAGGACTGAGTACGGGCAACAACTAAAAGGCAGTCAGACTGGCCTTCACATGACAAGATTGTAGGACGTGCCATCGGCCATGTTGCCGTAGTGACACAGATAAGAACTGGTAGCGTGAGGAAGTAAATCGTCAAGCAGGGGCACGATGTTTGAGATGGTCTGCCTCGAGATCTTCATAGAGTCATGTGCAAGTTGTTAACGGCACTGAAAAGTATAAAAAAGAAAAGAAAGTATGAACTCGCAGCACAGCAACCGTCACGCGAACGTTTTCTTTCAGAGATCGCATTGTGTTGCGCTGTGGTATGTTCACGGCGGTGCCATCTTTGTGGTCTGACGGGCCCGCGGTGTCATAATTTGGCATTTCCTTGAGTCAGCGACAGACAACTCGCCTAGACCATCGCAACTACCACCTCCTTGCTGTCTTTTCATGGCAGGTGTGTCGAGCTCAATTATGCATGAAAAGCCGTGAATTTCCTCACGGATTTAGACATTAGACAGGCATGTATATGATTGAGGACGGGTCGCAGGAGGTGTTTCGGTTCCCAAGTGGACAGAGCTCAGGATCCTGGCCAGCGTCGACTGAAAGCAGAAGCTTGACCATGGAAAGTCAGCCGCCCCTCAGGAATACTCAGATTGAGCAGCACTTGCGTGAATGGGCTCCTCATCTTCGAATGCGCACGCTGTCGTCGGTGCTGGTGGGCGTAGCCGGCGTGGTGCTCCTATTGTGCAGCAGTGCTGTTGCTCTGCCTCCAAATCATGCAGGCTCAAGACCGTCGCGGTATCAGTCGACTTTTATACCATTATCGTCATCGCCCGGCTTGTCACGGACAACCACACCCTCTTTGACCTTGAAGCCGGTCTCGAGCCCATCCAGCGCAATTAGATTAGGCATGAATCCGACTCCACGACGGACGCGAAATCGTGACGTCCGGTGCTCGGTCGATGTGGGCTTGGCACTCTATGATATACAGATCTGGGCCAAGCAGCTCGTCGATACGCAGTTGACACATCTCACGCCTGTGAGTGGGGCCGTGTTGTACGGGGCGGGCCTCCTGACCTCGCTCTCCCCTTGCGCGCTCTCGCTCGTCCCCCTGACCATGGCCTATCTGACAGACGACGGCACGGACCCCGCGCGCGACCAGAGGACTCTGCTTTTCCGCGCTGCCACCTTTACGGTCGGGCTGGCCACGTCCTTGTCCGTTCTGGGCCTCTCCGCCACGCTGGCGGGAAAGCTCTTCGGCTCAGCGGGCGCAGGGGCCCTAGGCGCCGCGCTCCCTCTGACGGCCTCTGCGGTGGCCATCGTGATGGGCTTGAACCTTTTGGACCTGGTCTCCCTGCGACTCCCCTCCTTCGACGCCGCCCTGCAGCTGGAGAGGTTTCCTCCTTCCTTACAAGCCTTCCTCCTGGGCGCCACGTCGGCCCTGATCGCCTCCCCCTGCTCGACGCCGGTCCTGGCCTCCATCCTCGGCTTCGTCGCGGCCTCAGGCGAGCCCTACCTAGGCGCGGGCCTGCTCTTCTCCTACTCCTTGGGGTACTCGACACCGCTCCTGCTGGCCGGCCTACTGTCGGGGACCGTCACCTCCTTCATCGCCAAGCGGGGAGACGGCTTCTCCTGGGTCACGCCCGCCACGGGC